AGGTTTTCAATTAATTTAATTAATGACGAATTAGAGTTGTATAACTAATAATGTTTTACACAGCATATAACGCCGTAAGGGGGCCCAAGGGAAAAAGTTTGGACCGCTAGCGGCCTTGTGAGACACCTCAAAGTTCACAGGAGGGGTTAGCAAAATTAAGATGTTCAAGAAAGTTTATGTAAAAGACCCAAAAGTTTAAAGGGTTTATGGAATTAAAATAGTTCAGACTTCATATAAATCATCCATAAGACCTATTAAAGTTCAAAAATTTCTTCTTTTTTTAGTGAAATTTACCCTATTTTAAATTTGAAGTTATGATCACAACATGCTCACCCCATTTAGACCATTGACCTTCTTAGTCGTGTCAACTACCAATGACTAAATAGGGATATAGATGGAAACAATATAAAAGCATGCATTCACCGACAGTTAGATGGTACAGATCCCTATACACAGTCTGCAACTCTATAACAGGATACAAACATCTGTTCTTAGAGGAAAGGGGATTATATAACCCAGATTTTCAAGAAACTCTACGAGTTGGGCACTAAAGTAGTTCCACTTGAAATGCGAAACCCAGACTCACAGCTAAGGGTTCTTGCCCATCGCCAGGGTCATAGCTGATTCGAAGCTCTCCCGCACAACTCCAGATCTCACTGAGAGTTCTTGCACATGATGTTCGATGTAATATCTTCATCTAAAGTGAGCTAGCTCCCACACACTTCTCCTAAAACAACTAGAACCTAAAATACCACCACAAATAGTTCCATACGTAACATGACTATAGGCTTCATTCAATGGGTGGGGGGGAGGGGGGGGCAACTATTATCTATCTACGTTATAATGCACTCAGCAACCAGAAGAGCACAGAGCGCATTGAACGAAGCACATCCTTTGGAAAATCCACAGTATCGAGGCAAACAATAGCATCCGCTTTCCAACATTTCGATTTCCTCTGGGTGTAATCAGTCGAATTGGCAGATATTCGGCCCTTGGGCATGCAAATCAAAACACGAATTTGAATCTAACCGAAGATTCCGAAATTCCACGAAAATTCCTAGGGTTTAAAGAATAGACGTACGGATTGAGCGTTGTGCCAAGAGAGGCCTCTGTAGACGTTGACGGAGAAGGTGCCGGCGAGGTACACGGTGGCGACGCCGAGTCCGGCGGTGAACGCCTTGAGGTCCAGTGCCGCCGCTCGACTCATCATCGTCGTTTTCCTCCTCCTGCTGCCGCTGCTGCGTTCGCCCTAGTTTTTTGTTCGCTGGTTAAGTTTCTGTGCTGGACTGGGCCTTTAAGTTCAGGCCCAGCCCGAGTTTTATTGTAGAGCGGGCCCCACCAGACGAAGGCGAAATCAGGGGTCTTTGGTAATCGAAAAGTGAATTTAAAATATGTAAGTTAATTTTTTTGTAAATGATTTTTATATTCATGTCAGCACGTAAGTGAAATACAATATTTGTTTGAAAAATTAAATTATTATCGAAAGTGCAATATGAAGATGACGTGACAAACTAAGATTAATTAAAAAGTATAATTAAAATTATTTAATTAAATTAGTTACTTTTTTGTTACTTACATGTGACTTCACCATTTTTTAGGGGAAGTCAAAATTACATTAAATCATATGTTACAACTTTCTTGCATCTCACTTTCGCAAACAAACACCCCCAGTGGGATTTGTGGGGGGACTCGGATCCGAACCCCGGAACCCGACACCGGATGCAGTGTCAAATTGATGATGTGATTTTTGATGTCAATGGTAACGTGCGGAGGCAATAAAGCCAGGCTTCGAAGGAATAAGGATTGCCTGTGGTGTTATGTCATAGACATCGGAGTAACATAACTTATTTCAACTTTCTCATTCCACTGGATGCTGTGAAAGTCATCTCACTTCAAAAAGTAACATTGTCATTTCTACCGTGTCGTTCTAGGCACTCAACTAAAAAGACGAAGATACCCCCTCTATTTACAGAGAGAAGTAGATAAGTTTTGGTGTGAAGAAAATAAATGAAAACCCCCTCTATTTATAGAGTCAGCCACCTAAACAAATGACCAAAATAACCTCACAAAATAGCTGTTTTTTGACCGTTTTGAGGACAAAACAGTCAAAAGACCGTTTATGGCCGTTGTGGCCTGGCCGGCCAGCTTGTTTTGGCCACAATGGTCACGAGAGTGACTGTTTTGGCCACAACGGTCACGAGAGTGACCGTTGTGGCCGGCCTCCCGGCTCGGTCCGACCGTTTGGCCACAACGTCACTCTTCGTGCACCATTTTGTGGCCGGGCCTGGCCGGGCTTCGGGCCTGGCGCCGCTTCGGGCCCGGGCTGCTCCGCGGCCGGATTTTTTGCCCGACGCCGGCGCTGCTCCGGGCCGGCGGGCGCCACTGAGGCAGCCCGTACCCAGGCCCAGAACCCGGCCAGGCCCGGATTTTCGAGTCGCATGGGCCGGGCCGGGTCAGGCCGGGCCCGGGCCGACGGGCTTTTTGGACAGGCCTATGGAAACGTGAGGAGGCAATAAAGCCACGCGAAGGAGTAAGGATTGCCTGTGGTGTTACGTCATAGGTATCGGAGTAACATAACTTCTTTCAACTTTCTTCATTCCACTGGATGCTGTGAAAGTCTTCTCACTTCAAAAAGTAACATTGTCATTTCTACCGTGTCGTTCTAGGCACTCAACTAAAAAGACGAAGATACCCCTCAGCTCCAAATTACCCTTTTATGCTTTTTAATAATATTTTTTGTTTTTCAAGAAGTTTATTCACGTTACTAAGCGATCCTTCGTTGTAATATCATAGCCATTGATTAGTTTAATATGACCTCAAAGTTTAAAGGAATTGGCGAAATTTAAGGTGTTCAAGAAAGTTATGTAAAAGACCCGGAAGTTTAAAGGATTAAATTAAAGCAATTCGGATAAATTATATCCACAACACCTTTCAAAGTTCAGAGAGATTTTCTAAAATTAACTGTAGTTTAATTTGGAGTTATGCTCCCAGCATGCTCGCCCCATTGTCCTCGTCATAGCCAGGCATAAGCTTTATGGGCTAAATAATCTATTCTTTTATACAAATGGGAGAAACAAAGAGTCACTGTTCATACTACAGTAAATGCTACAGTAGATTTACTGTAGCAGTATTACTGTAGTAGCTGAGAAATTTAAAAGCCACTGCAGCAGATCGGTTACTGTAGCAGTTCGGGAATGGTACTGTATCAGGTGAGTTACTGTAGCACCCCAGAAAATCCAAACCGGGAGAGTTTAAAAACGGCGGGAACACTGTAGCAAAAAAAAACACCGTGCTGCGCACGGGCTGCACACTAGTTTTGGTTAATACGAGTATTTCCAAATAGTCATTTTTATTAAGTGTAAAGTTCTTTATTAAGCGTAAACTTCTTCTCCTGATTTGGAGATTTCACTTACAAAAAGGTTTATATTCTTCCGATTAAAAAGCTGGAATAATATTAGAGCATCTCCAACAGCTTCCCTATCTTCTTGAAATACTCAAATTTGGAGAATATAGAGCTTTTTTTTGGTCCAACAGATTCCCCATCTCATCTTCTTGAAATACTCAAATTTGGAGAATATAGAGCTTTTTTTTGGTCCAACAGATTCCCCATCTCATTCCCCAAAATAGGGAAGGAGGAGAAAAAATAGGGAGTCTTCCCCAAATCTGCAGCATTCTCCAAATTTTTTGGGAGAACTTTATTATTGTAATAAATGCGATTTTTTAAAATGGGGAAGCTGTTGGAGTTGGAGCAAAAATAATTTGGAGAATATGACTTTTGTTTCTCCATTTTGGAGAAATTTTTAGGGAAGCTGTTGGAGATGCTCTTAGCCGGAACAATTTAATTTTTTAAGTTGAACCATGCTCAATTTGAAAATGGGTTATGTCGACATTAGCCACCAATCTTTAATATTTTGTATCCTGCACAGGCAACACAGTCTTCAATATTTTGATATTAGCCCCCAACATATTTGAAATTGATCTCATGCCCCCCCAAACCTTATGAGTATGTTGAAATAAGTCCTTCCTCCCTCCCCAAGTTAAAATTTATTTTAAATGAGGAAATATTTTGTTTATTTCAAAATTTTTGGCTATTTAACAGTCATACTCCTTTAATCCAAACTCAAACCCAACTTTAACTAATACCAATTATGATGCCCAAATCTGTTTAATAAGACCCTAACCCAAACACATTTCCACTTCATCTCCTTAACGTCTTCACCAACGGCTGTCTTCAGCTCTAATCCTAGATTTGCATTGGATATATTCCCATTAGGGAAGACGTAAGAGAAGGCGATGGAGAAGATAAAGCGAAAAATGGATTTGAGTTATTAAACGGATTTGAAGAGCTTAAGGGCTTGTTTGGATTGAGGGGAATGAGGGTGAAGGGAAGTTAGGGGAAACATTCACCTCCATTCACCTTGTTTGGGAACACTTAGGAGGTGAAGTTAATTCACCCTAGTTCCCCTTGGTTCACCCCCTAATAGTATAAAAATTATTACCCCCCAAATTGGGGTGTAACCAAGGGGAAGGGAACTCCCTTCCCTTCCCTTCTCATCCCTTCACTCAGTTTCCCTTAACTTCCCTTCACCCCCTACAAATCCAAACAGGCCCTAAGGGCTTGTTTGGATTGAGGGTAATGGGGGTGAGGGGAAGGGAGGGGAACCATTCACCTACATTCACCTTGTTTGGGAACACTTAGGAGGTTAAGTTAATTCACCCTAGTTCCCCTTGGTTCACCCCCTAATAGTATAAAAATTGTTACCCCCCAAATTGAGGTGTAACCAAGGGGAAGGGAACTCTCTTCTCTTCCCTTCCCTTCTCTTCCCTTCACTCAGTTTCCCTTAACTTCCTTTCACCCCCTACAAATACAAACAGGCCCTAATGGGTATAAGTTAATTTGGTTAATGAGTTTAGGTTTGTGTGAGAGAAGCATAACTAGCAAATCAATGAAAAAGTTAAATTCAATAAATATTTCCCCTATTTTAACTAAATTTTAACTAGGGTTTATTTCTACATGCTAATAGGATTTGGAGGGCCTGAGATCAATTTCAAAGATTTGGGGAGCTAATGCAAAATATTAAACATTTAGAGGGGCTTTCGATCAATTTAAAAAAGTTGGGGGGGTTCGTACAGAAATATTGAACATTTGGGGGGCTAAGTTGGAAATAACCCTTTGAAAATATATATTATTCTCAAAGGAGCGGGGCGGGTAAAGCATTTTACATCTTAGTAACGGAAAACGACCTTAATTTACATACTTAAATCAAGTGTCGGATCTGCTGTTTCTCCCCCAACATCTTTCTCTCCATATGGCACGGAAAAAGGCAATCTTGTTGCCTGACATTGACACGTGTATGACATTCAACGATCTTTAATCGATGTCTCGTGTTCTGCCCAGATGCAAAGATCCAGTGACAATCAATCATCACCCGTACCGATTCGCGGGTTTAAAAACAAATGATCCTCCTACAAGAAGCTCGGCGCGAAAGTCGAAAAGAACTAACTATGATCCGCCACGTGAAATAAGTTAAGGTGGGTCCGCCAAAGGGCTTTAAAGTCACGCGAGTTTGTATGCTGTTGTGTGCAAAGACCAAAACATTGATCCAGTGATTGACCACTCAATGGTGCGGTGTACCGCGGAGAGACGGAAGCACGCTAATCACACGGTGTGTGGACGGTGATGATGGGAACCTTTTGAACGCGTTTTCTGTGGGACCCGCAGGATTCGCTTTTATAAAACAGGACCTACCAGAAAATAATTTGCACGCAACATCTTATATCATGCTGCCTAGCGTTGCTCATTTATTACTTACGATCCTGTGGGACCCGCAGGATTCGATTTTATAAAACAGGACCTACCAGAAAATAATTTGCACGTAGCATCTTACATCAAGCTGCCTATCGTTTGCTCATTTACTTTTACAAATTAATGTGAGCAATTGAAAGTCTACTGCTAATAAGTGAGATGCGATGGTTTTTTGTCATTTTGTGTACTTTTACGCAAAAGATGGGGAATCCGAATCATAACTATATTGAAAGTAAGAATATTATCTTCACTATCGCAACATAAGTCTTGTATTAATCTTAGGTGTCTTTTTGTGTGCATTATAAGACTAAAACCCTTCATCGTCAAGATATTATAATCTCTGTGCATGCCTTGACAAAAGAGTTTTTTCTTGATATTATTTGCTTCCAAATCTTAACATCCTATATAATTTCAAAGTAGAATGATAATTTGATATTGTATCAGATATCTGAGGTGAAATTAAGATTTTATCTAGCTCAAAGGGTATCATAATTTATTTGCAAATGAAACTTTATTAAGTCCAATTTTATTTTTCCCGTTTTAGTTTCTGAATATGTACATGGATGCACTATATGTTGTTGGATATTAGCTCAAACTCTAAGTCGGATAAGGGTTTGAAGGCTCGTCTCAATCCTAGTATTTTTTTAGATGCCCAATTAACTTAGCGGGCAAGTCAGAAGTGTCTTTAAATAAAACGTCATATTCTAAGGTTTCAGAGTAGAGAGAAGGAGAGAGGCAATATTTTTGTAATCAGGTTTTTAGAGGGTGTAATCAGGTTCAAGGGTATTGTGAGAGAGAGGCTTTTACAGTCTTTGTCTGTGCAAATGATTTATAATTTAGAGATGATAGTGGATTGATTTTTCGTTATTTTCCCCCGTTGAGAGTTTTCCACGTTAAATCTCATGTGATTCTGTTTGTTGTGTTTGGTGATTTTTGGGGTTTTGCAATATCTAAAAATCTCAACAAGTGGTATCAGAGCGTGGTTCAATGGTTCGTAGAGGTTTGACTAGTGTACTATTGGTGAAGGCGTCAGCAGTCAAAGCGTGGCGATTGGTGAAGGCGTCAGCAGTCGAAGCGCGGCGATTGGTGAAGGCGTCAGCAGTCGAAGCGCGGTGATCGACAGCGGGGGAAATTAAAAAAAAGTATTGTAGTAGGGAATACTATAGCGGCGGCGGGACCACTGTTCACATGAGAGAGGGTTTGCTTACAAACTTTTAAATCAAATCTAACGGTGCAGATTGATTTGTCTTTTGATCGAGGATTTGGAGACGGATTTCGATGATCCATGAGTCATTCCTAGGGTTTTTCGACGTGATGAGTTCATTTTTTACATCGGTTTTATCAAATTAAATCTCTACAGTAACTTATTTGAATTTTGATTGTGGTTAGATGATGACTTCTTCGGATCCGAAGTTTGATATTCCGCTATTCAACGACAAAACAAATTTGCAGTATGGTCGTGCACGATTCAAGATATTATTATGCAGCAGAGTGTTGATCGAGCTTTGGAGGAAAAGAATCCCATGGAATTGAAGGATGTTGAATGGAGTTCCATGTAAAAGAGAACAGTTAGCACAATTCATTTAGCACTCGCCCCCGAGATCAAGTACAATATTATGCAAGAGACCACACCAGGAGGGCTGTGGGAAAGACTCAAGGGGATTTATGCTTCAAAGTCAATAACCAACCGATTGTGTTTGAGAATGGAGCTTTACTCGTTAAAGATGGAAGAAGGTACTGCAATTCAAGACCATATCAATGCGTTTAATCAGTTAGTTTGCCAACTTATGAATATTGATGAAGAGATTAAAGAAGAAGAGCATGAGTTGCTCCTATTGTCTTCCTTGTCAAAGTCGTACAAGTCGTTAGTTCAATCGATAATTGTAGGAAAGCAGACTTTAAAGTTCGACAATATGACAGCAATGCTACGTGAGAATAAAAGAATGATGGGAAAGGAGAGCGCATCTAATGGTGGTGAGAGTGCAGTAGCTTTTGAAGGTTCTAATCGAGGGAGGAGTAAGGGGAGATATGACAGTTATCGAGGAAGATCAAAATCTCGAGTCTGAGATGACAGCGAAAGGGAATGCTATTATTGCTGAGAGAATGGTCACATTCAGTTCAGATGTTCGATCGAGATGATTTGAAGAGTATCAAACAAATGAAGCTTCAAGAAAAAAGAAATAAGGCGGACTCCTCGGTGGTTGTATGTGATGAAGATATGATGTTGTTGATATAAAGTGAAGGTACTGATGCGAGTAATACTTGGGTGTTAGATTCTGCAGCCTCTATACATGTTTGCAACAACAATAATTATTTTGATACATTAAAGACAGATGAAGAATTTGACGATGTGATTATTGGAAACAACGAGAAGATAAAGGTTGAAGGTGTTGAAAGTGTTCGCCTCAAGCTTCACACTGGGAATGTAGTAATTCTTCGTCATGTGAGATATGTGCCGTCATGTGGTGCTAATTTAATTTCGTTAGGTGAGATGGCATCGTGTGGGTACAAATATGTGGGTGAAGGAGAGTGGTGCAAAGTGTATGAAGATGGTGATTTAATTTTACAAGGGAGGAACAACAACCATATTTTCTATTTAGATGGACGATCTATTAATGGTGTAGATGACTCTTCTCAGACTCTTGTCCACAAGGGAGATGTGAAGAACAATAAAAAGAGAGTGAGTTTTTTAAAAGCCATTGAGGCACTTAGAGATTTTTTGTCGAGGGAGGATATGTTGGGTACCAACTCAAATTCCAAGTCGGACGTGGGTTTAAATGCTAGGCCAAATCCTAGTAGTTTTCTTAGAGCCTAAGTTAACTTGACGGGCAAGGCAGGGGTGTCTTTAATTAAATAAGGCGTCATATTTTAGGGTTTTACAGTAGAGAGAAGGAGAGAGACAATATTCTTGTAATCGGCGTTTTAGAGAGTGTAACCGGGTTCAAGGGTATTGTGAGAGAGAGGGTTTGACAGTTTTTGTCCGTGCAAAAGATTGTAATTTAAATGTGATAGTGAATTGATTCTGATCCAGTGGTTTTTTCCTATTGATGATTTTTCACGTTAAATCTCGCGTGATTCTATTTGCTGCGTGTGGTGATTTTCAGAATTTTTGCGAGATCTAAAAATCCCAACATATGTAACATAAACTTTTGATGGTTACAGTTTATGATGCATGACTCGTGAATGTTGTTCATCATAATTTGTATGCAGACCTATCATCCTTTTTGCGTGAGTTGAAGGAACAAATAGTCATTGACTTTTCATGGATTTTTTTAAAGAAAATAAAGTATATGAATCAAATATTTTAATAAATAAATAAATTCAACCAGAACCCAAATACGAGAAACAATTGAACCAACCCATGTATTTGCTTCACGTATACATCTACTTGTAGGAGAAAAACACATCAGCACGTAGAGGAGGAGAAGCCTCTTGAGTTTGAATTGTAACTATTTTCACTCCACTCGTTATTGATAAGATTCATCTATACCCCTGCTTAACTAACGGATACGTTTCATCCTATAGAATAATGTCAGTGTGTCGTTATTACTCTTGTTTTTTAAGCAAGCCTTATAGCGTTTATAGTAATACTTTGGTGCATGCGATGCACGTATGACCCAAATATATGAGGGCATTTTCATTAATTTTTGCAATGATGAGAGCACTTTTTTTTTTTGAACTGAAAAACAGGGTGAGATACCCTGTTCATATATATAGATATTTATAAACCAAGGGGTTAACATGGGGAAAGAGGGGAAAGACTCAAAAGGGACATGACAAGATTCTAAGTAGAGAGGAGGAGGGTAAGGAGCGGACCGTGTCGTCACCTACCCAAAACTACTCTATACTTAAAAACCATCGACCAAAGCCCCAAAAAACAAAAAACATAAACTCACCACATCACATCAGAGTTTAACACAGAAACTGTTGAAGCTGAAAAAAAAAAAAAAAAAACCAGACAACCAAAAACATACATAAACGAGTCTGCAACTATGGAACTGAGAGTCAACTGCAGCTGCATCCAAAAGGGTGAGGGGAGAACGAGACTGCATCAGGAAACACCAGCAGGGGGAGAGTCAACTGTCATTAGAAAAATTGTCCCCGAAGTCTCCTTCGCTGTTGGAATTCACGAGCTCCTGCAATTTTAAGTTGTGAGCTGCCCTCCGAGTGCGTGTCGCCACTCGCTCAGCTTCTTCACCTGTCCAGAACAATACATATCTTGCAATATTAGCCGCTATAATGTTGGGACTAGGAATGACATCTCTGAAAATAAGCAGATTTCTACAGTGCCACATTCTCCAACAGAAGCTAAGCAACAAATATTTCCAAATAGCTCTGATATCAGAGCAAGTATTCCGATCAGATTGCAAGGCAATCAGACCCTCCATGGATCGGGGCCATGAGCAGATAGGAGCGAGAGGGAGAAGAGAGGACCAGACTGCTTGAGCAAAGGAGCAGCTAATAAATAAATGATCTTGTGTTTCAACTTCCAGCGAACATAAAGGGCAGCGAGGGTCCCCAGTCCATCCTTTGTGAATCAAGTTAGCTCTGGTATTAAGCTTGTTTCTGGAGATAAGCCAGAAGTGGATCTTAACTTTCATCGGGATTATAGACTTCCAAATGAATTTATGATGGGAGGATATAATCCCCCCGAAGGATAAGATGGCGTAGAGAGACTTTACAGTATAAACACCCGATGAATGTAAAGGCCAGCACAAGCTGTCATGGAGTGGAGAAATGTCAGCTTGGTTAGAAACAAGATGAGCATATAGCTTGGAAACTTCACTTTGCTCTCCTGTTGAGATACCCCTCCTGATGATTGGGTGCCAAATCCACCCATGGATGCCCTGATATCCTTGAGATCTAACTGAAACATTTCTGGAAAAAGCAAGTTTGCATGCTAAAGGAAAAAGACTACTAAGAGAGTTAGCATTTAACCATTTATCATTCCAAAAACAGCAAGTATTACCATCTCCCACCTGCAATGATGAGAGCACTTATGATGATTCTTCCAAATATTAGCTCCTATTTGTTTTTAATAAGTGAGTATTCCTTTCGATATATCAATTGCAAGGGCATTTATGGAATTTCTAAAAAATTGATACACACAATCCAATATGGTGGCTTTCCTTAAACCTATACTACTACTACTGTGCACGCAATGCGTGCATGATATAGCAGATATTTATGCAAAATAAAAAATGCATCTTAATAGCTAATGATAATACTTGCATTTCGGAATGATTTTCGCAAGAGTGCAAGCATTGGTGTTGATTCTCTAATGCTAGGTATTTTAGTTATCTTTTGTAATCTTGAATGTGTTTCTTTTGATTTTTTAATGTGTGAGGGTATTTTTGGTATTTCTAAAAGTTGACCCACAAACAAAAAAGGTGGTTCTTCTTAAATATGTATAGATAATAGTATGAAAGCAAATCCTCTCCAGTTAGGTGGTAATTTGAGAGGATCCAATTCTCCCAATCTTGATCATTTATTTCAATTTAGAAGGGATAGATTATCCCATGTGAGATTTTCACTATTGCAAGAATGATTTTTAAAAATGGTGGTTTTTCATGACAATAGTGACAAAACCACTATTGGGAAACCATTCTTGCAATAATAAATATCCTCAAAATGGTGGCTTAATCACATTCCTCAAAATTAAAATGAATGATCAAGATTGAGAGAAATAGATCATCTGTAATTACCACTTAATCGCAGAGAATCTAAATCCATTACAGTATACATATGAGTAGGGCGTATTGTCCTATTATTTTCGTTAAAAATATAAAAAATTTATTTTTCTTCTAATTTCTCTTTGTGCACTTCCGAGTCATCAAAAATATGATTTACAAAGAATAAAAACTAAACAGTTAGGGATTCTATCAGAACCATCCCTACAAGAGTGGAGTGATTTACATCTATGATTAAATAGTCACAACTCTCAATTTAATTATATGCGTCTAATATAGGGTGTTTTGATAGAATACTTATTCGAAACTAAACTATAAATGTTAGGACACAAAATATCTCACTCAATAACCCTTGTCCATGAAAAAAAAGATTATCATAAATAATAGGATTTTGTTCTAAATATAAACTGTGGTCCTCAGATTCTAATAAGTTGTTTATACATTTTAAAAAAGTCTAATAAGTTGTTTCAAAATTAGCCCCTCGAAGCATTAAAATTATCATTATACTCCTAATTTTTTTTATAAAATTATTTCAAATTAATCACTCCGACCAAAGGAGCCCTCTGATAACAATTTTAATAATTTAAAGAACTAACGTCAAATCATAAAAGGGATAATGGACTAATATAGAGAAAAAAAGACAAAATTTAAGACCAACCTATCAAAAAATTTTCAAAAAGGATCCGTTTCAAATTTAATTTTAAAAACCGACCCAGTTGGGCTGAAACTCGGTCGGTTTAAAAGAAAAGTTTCCAAACTTCACGGGAGTTGAAGTCCCATAAAGTTTTTATATTGTTATATAAAAGACTTCACGGGACTTCAACTCCCGTGAAGTTTAAGAACGTTAAAAAACCGACACAATTTCAGCCCAACTGTGTCGGTTTTTAAAATTAAATTTAAAATAGGTCTTTTTTGAAAATAAGATTCAAAACAAGTCAGTTTTGAAAATTTATCCGAAAAAACCCCCAAAGACAAAGACTCACTCCATCCACAAATAACACATAAGAACGGGACCCACACGCAAAACATCCACCCCTGCCTCAGTTTTAACAGCCGCGAGCGCAGCAGCAAAACCCAGCGCCAGCAGCGGAATCCCAACCCACAAAAACATATCTCCTCGATTGCTGTGCCTTCACTGTGGGTGCAGGTTTGGGTGCTCCCGGTTTCGGTCCCTTTTATCTTTTCGATGTCGCATAAGCGGCAACCTGCAGAGGAGGAGAAAGCGACGTCCGGCGGGGGCTCCGATGAGAAGCGGCAGAAAGTTCCCGCTCTCAAAGAGTAATCACTCACCCGATTGCTTGTTTGATTCTTATTTATTTTTTGCTATTTTTGGCGAATTTTTTTGGATTTTTTTGGGGGGTTTATTTAGGGTTATAGTGGAGGCCTTGAAGATGAATCGAGTGCAGAAGTTGTTGGCAGCTCTGGAGCCCTTGGTTCGAAGAGTTGTAAGTTTTCTTTTTCCTTTTTTTTTGGGTTAAATTTTTGTTTTTTAGGGTTTTGTTTGGGTTCAAATAATTCGTACTTAAAATGATGTTTGGTGCTTGTAACTGCTGTTTCACGCTTAAATTGTAGTTAAATTTAAGTTGTAATCAAGTATAATCTCCACTAATTTTATGGTTTAATTTGGCTTATAACGGAGATTTGGAGAGTCTTGCTGACACTTTGGCAGTCTAGAGACCATTTTCTTCGTCATCATCATCGAATTATATTAGATGATCTTAATTTATTGCTAATATAACTAGTAATGTTATCCCCATGAGATGATTATGATTGACAAAGTGAGTGCGAATTGATTTTTGTAGCTAAACCAACTTTGAGGTTTGAAGATTGCAGTTTCGGAAACTGAACACAGTAACTAAATAAATGCCAGTTTAGTTCTTTGCGTTAAGTGACTTTGGGACTGTTTGTTTATATTTAAGAACCCGAGGTTCTTGAACTTCCTGTCATGAATTCTAAGGTAGTTCATGTCTTTTTGGTTAATTGGATAAACAGTCGGATGTTTGTTTCTTGAGATAGAGGACATACCAACCCTGCGTCTATGTGTTTGGTTTGAGAATATTCAAACTTTGAGATAAAGACACAATCTGTCTCTTCTCGTATTTTATGTGACTTTAGAACATTTTCTCTCCGAATACAAGGCAGTGCTACAAGGAAAATGCGACATAGGATTCATCAATGTCCCGCAGAGTCTCCATATAAGGAATCCTGTCAAGTCATCATTCTCTTGTTGATTATAAGAATAAGGCCAGAGAGGAGGCTGCAGACCTTACAAGTTGGACTCATGTCTTCTCTCTTTCCACTGCGTCTTCTACCCAATGGTGGTGCATACGCTCCTACAACGGAAGGAAATGTTAGAAGTGCTAGTTCAACTATCATTGCTTGTTTCTATAGGATTTGCCTAAGTTTCAGACACTATTTATAACATTATTATGTTTTTTTATCTGAGAGAAGAACCGTAGGAGAATAGCATCCCTTTCCATTTCATTTGAAATGATTATTTATACTTTAAATTTTTGGTATTAGTTGCTAAAGTTATCGGAACAACTTATCATAGGTGTTGATCTCCTTGACTACCAGATAAAGTCATATCCTAGAAAGATGTTTAGAAATATAATAAATCTTGAAGGTAGTCCTTCATTGTAATTGTAGGTCAACCTTATTCTTAGCAAGCTGGTGTTTGACCAAATTCAGTTGATCAGATATGTCATAAGGTCTATTCTCCTAAAGGAAAAAAATGATGAATGATTTGACAAAAATAACTGCGTGTAGTATCCTACCATTTACATACATCATAGATTTGCATAGAATGTTCTCTTTTATTCTTGGTACATGTTACCTGTTGATTAATAAAAGTTATGAGAATGAGAAACCAATATGAAACATAAAACATGGGAATATATGAAACTACACCATCATATTAACAAATATACTCATACACCCAAAGTAACAAGCAAATTCCTTGGCCACTGGGATCAAATGCCTTGATCAGTCATTTCTCCACTGTCGATTGATGTTGTTAACTATCCCTTTTAAACAGCTCTCTACCCATTGCTATTTCATGAACGACAAGATTTTCAATATCTGACTATTATCACGATTTTCTTCTCAATAAATGACCATTTGATAATAACCAAGATAATTAAAGGTAGAAGTGATTGGATGTATTATAAATATGTCAACAATTCACTCCTATTCAATTATAAATATGTCAAACAATTCAGTTATATCTCACATCACGCCACAGTATTTTGCCTCTCAACAGTCTCTGTTCCCATTTACTGCTAGACTATATTGCCATATATGCTGGTGCTTCATTTTTTATCTTCCAGTTATAGGAAGCATTGGAAGTTATTAACTTCCAGTAGAAGTTGTGCAAATGCTTGTGTGGAGATTCATAATGCTTGGGACATGGGGATTTAAATAGGCCATGTGCATTTCCTCGCACCATTTTGTTGAAGTTCTTACAATTTCCTCACCACCGAGTATCATGCTTACTATTCACTGTTAAGCAGTTATGGAGACTGTTGTCTAATAA